TTGTCTTGGTCTCCTCATCTTAAAAATCATTTATACACTGCAGAAGACATGGGGAGTAGAAAGATGGCTAAGAGCACTTGCTGATTTTGCAGAGGACCTAGGTAAGATTCCCAGCACCCACATGGCAGTTTACAACCATCTCCAGCTCCCGGGGATCTTGACGTGGGAGTTCCCTCTGTATGTTGTGAATATCATTGCTTAAAAAAGGAACTGCTTTGGGCCTATAGCAGAGCTATAGGGGAACAGAGATAGGCAGGGAAAACTAAACTGAATGCTGGGAGAAAGGAGGCGGAGTCAGAGAGAAGTCATGTAGCCCCCGCCAGAGTCAGATGCTGGAACTTTAGCCAGTAAGCCACAGCCACATGGCGATACACAGATTAATAGAAATGGGCTAAATTAATATGTAAGAGGTAGCCAATAAGAAGCTAGAGCTAATGGGCCAAGCAGTGATTTAAATAATATGGTTTCTGGTGATTATTTCGGTTCTGGGCGGCTGGGACAAACAAACAGCCTCCTTCAAAAGGATCTGGCATCCTCTTGTGGCTTCTATGGAAACTGCACACATTGGTGTACATACATACATGAAGATAAAACACTCATCCATACAAAAAAGCATGAGAAACAACTGCAACAAATGACTTCCTTTCTGATGTCCTCATTTCTTTAAGTAAAACTATGACCACTTACTATCATGAAGACGACAGATCTCTCTCATTAGATCCAGGATGAGAACACAGAGTAGCAAGTCAGATTGCATGAGTGCTCTGCGCATGTACTCACTAGATCCAGGAGTGGGCGTTAAGGCAACATCCTGAAGCCTCACTGACAACCTTCAAGACAGGCTGACTCTAGTATCTACCTACCAGGACTCCACAGGATTAAACGAGGTGACATGCGAAGTATGGAGTATAATGACAGGCTCATGATAGAAGTTCTATGCATGGTAACTGTTATTACACTTAGTCAGTGGCTTTCTTTGCTTCTTCAATATCTGTGACTAATCTGTCACTGAGCTCTGTCAATTCTTTCATATATATATATATATATATATATATGAAATATGTATTTCTCAGATATATATCTCAGTTAAACATTCATCACAAAAACAAATCAACCAGGATGCTGGTGTCTACCTATGATCTTAAATAATCATACTATAACATCTCTAGACATTGGAATACCATGTAGCGTGAGGCAAGATCATAATTATAAGCACAGAAAAATATGCTATTTTATTAAATGAAATTAATCAGTCACTGAAGACTATGCCTAAATTGACCTTCTTTGGTTAAAAGCATACAAGTCATGAGGAGCGATAATTAAAATTGATCAAAAGTAGAACTTTTCAGAGTGTAGAGGTTTAAGGCGTCGTCTGGGCAATCGTGAGGTCTGGGACCCCACAGGCACTGCGGACACATATTCCTTCTCCTAAGATTCGATGACTGCATCTATGTGTACATATACCCTAACAGAGTACACATACTCAACAAGTCATAGGATGAACCCGGGCACTGTGTGAGAATCGGAGCAACCAAAATACATTCATCAGTAGATGTGAGGGTTAATGCTGGCTGTTGTCTTGATAGGAATCAAGTAGGAGACACACCTCTGGGCATAGCTGTGAGGGATTCCTCAGTTAACTGATACCAGAAGCCCCATCCTAATGGCTGGACAAATACCAAGAAGGGTCAGCTGAGCAGTAGCCTTCATCCCCCCCCTGCTTCTTGACTGAGGATGCCATGAGACCCGCGACCTCAAGCTCCTGCCACCATGACCTTTCTGTCATGCTGGGCTGTACTCCTGGCACCGTGAGTCAGCCAGCTCTCCCCGTTCCTTAAGGTGCTTCTTGTCAACGTGTCATCATGGCAGTGAGAGACGCTCCTTTCAGAAGGAAGTGGATAAGCTCTACTTCCGGACTACGTACTTTATAAGATAAACAAAAACACACCAGGAAACTGTCAGACATAACATCGACCGAAGAGAACAGAGATACTGCATACGCCTGTGCAGATATCGTCACCAATGCCAGGCACCCACGGAAAAGTGAGCGACTGAAAAGGTGGAAAGGTTGCGCCGCCATGTCAGTATATGTCCGGTCACTTCTGAAGAGGAAGCCGAGGAAAGGGTATGATAAGGGTACAAGGAAGCTATTTTTTTCTTCTTTAGACATGTGTATCTCTGTGGATCTGTATACAGGAATGGGCAGTTAGATGTGGCGTCTCGTGGCCAGAGTTGTCAGATCCCCTGGAGTTAGAGTTACAGGCAGCAGTGAGTTGTCTGTTGTGGGTATGGAGACCCACACTCTAAAAGCACTACAGATTCTTAATCATGGAGCCATCTCTCCAGCCCCAACAATGAAACGATTAAATTATATCTATGACTGTGACTCTAAGATAATCTAATACAAATGTGGAATTTAGAGTAATGCCATCTTTTCCCCTGTATTTTTTTAGGATAGCTATTTTTCACAGTCAAAAGTTTACTGGCTTAGTTGCAGAGAGCTTGCCTAGTATGCCAAGGCTCTGAGTTTGATTCATAGTACCAAAAAATAAAAACAATAAAACATGATATTAATAACAAAAGAAAAAAACATGCCTTCAAACTACTATGACCTTAGGCAAATTATTTCTTCTCTGTTAGCTTCATTTCCCCAACTTTAAAGTAGGAACCACAACACCTTCCCAACAGAATTACAGTATAATTACAGTGAGTAAAAAAGACTTTAAAAATCCCACAGTATCGATACTGCTGTAATAGTTATTACTAGCAGCAGCTCTGTCTGCAGTTGGTAAGACCCCTCTCTAACATAAAGGCACAGGTTCCCAGAAAAGCTGGTTCATGATGCTGTCCCCTCTGCCCCTAGTTGACTCAATCAGTTTGTTTAGCTAAGGTCATCCTAAAACCTTTTCTGCCTTCCGCTGTTGTAGAATATTGTTTTAAGATGTGTTGCATTTGTTCATGCTGTGGAATATTTGTTTAATGATGCAAAGATGTGCTGCATTCTTTTATGTTGCGTTTGTTTAACTCTGTGAAGCTGTGTTCCTTGGCCTGCCTAAAACACCTGATTGGTCTAATAAAGAATTAAATGGCCAATAGCAAGGCAGGCGACAAGATAGGCAGGGTTGACAGGCCAACAGAATGAAGAGGAGGAAAAATCTGGGAGGACAAGAGATTGAGGAGCAGGACAAGGAGGAGGACTCCTCGGGCCAGTCAACTAGCTACATAGCAAGCCGCAGAGAAAGAAATAAAGAAAAAAATTACAGAAACAGAAAAAGGTAAAAACCTAGAGACAAAAGGTAGATGGGCCAATTTAAGCTAAGAAAAACTGACTAGAAATAAGTCACACTAAGACTTGGCATTCATAAGAAAGAATAGGACTACGAGTGATTTATTTGGGAGCTGGGTGTAAAGAGCAAAAGAGTAAAAGAGTTAAAACAAAACAAAACAAAACACACATAAAACCCCCAAACAACCAACTGCATTCAGCCTATTGGAGACAGCATTTATTATGGTTTTTTTTTTTTCTGACTGTTTGAGACTCCCTAATATGAAGACAAGTTTCATTTAACTTGAAAGCTCCAGTGAAATTAAGAGAGGAAAAAGAAAAAGCCTCAGGATTAGGTGCTAATTTTGTCTCTTCGAGACCTCTCCAAGACTGTCCACCCTGGATAAGTCCCTTGAGATGTGAAATGTGACCCCATAGGTTTGCAGTCCATTGGATCTATTTTGGGAGGTTGTGGAACCTTTGTGAATGTGGCCTGGCTAGGAGAAGCAGGTCTTTGCAAGCTGGCCTTAATGGAAACACCCACTTCAGGGTCCACTGGACTCTGCTTGCTGCTGGTTCTATGCATGAAACTGCAGCCTGAGCATCCTCCATCAGAGACCAAGTCTCCAGTTTCTGTTGTCTTCCCTACCATGACAGGCTGTACCCTCTGAACCATGGAAATAATAAATATTTCTTCCTCTGTCAGGTATTTTGTCATATCAATAAGAAGAGTTACCAACAAGAAGAGTTACTAAGACTGGTGATTATACCTGGTGACCTATAGAAGGCTCTCCCTAATGTGGGAGTCCTCTCTGTGTGCTGTGATTACCATTAATGAATAAAGAAACTGCTCTGGACCTATAGCAAGGCAGAACTTAGGTAGGCTTGGAAAGATTAAACTGAATGCTGGGACAAAGAGGGCAAAGTCAGAGAGATGCCATGGAGCCGCCCCCAGAGATAGATGTGCTGAGACTTTGCTGGTAGACCATGACCTCGTGGTGATATACAGATTAATGGAGATGGGTTAAACTAAGATGTAAGGGTTAGCCAATAAGAAGCTAGAGCTAATGGGCCAAGCATTGATTTAATGAATACAGTTTCTGTGTGGTTATTTTGGTTCTGGGTGGCCGGGACAAACAAGTAGGTCTAAGCTAGCTGGGTAGTCGGGAACCAATAGCAGCCCTCCTCAGTCTCCTGGTAGGTACTCTAGGTATGTTTTTGAGGCTCCAAACCCAGTCAATGACTGCACTGCTTAATTAAAGAAGAGGAGGGCCAGGCAGTGATGGTGCACACACCTTTAATCCCCAAACTGGGGAGGCAGAAGCAGGCGGATCTCAGTGAGTTTGAGGCTATCCTGGTCTACAAAGCGAGTTCCAGGACAGCCAGGACTGTTACACATAGATACCTTGTCTCAAAATGCCAAAACCCAAACCAAACCACCACTACCACCACCACCAACAACAACCAAAAAAAAAAAAAAAAAACAAAAGAAAAGAAAAAAAAGAGGAGGAAGAGGAACAGGAGGAGGAGAAGCAAGAGGAGAAAGGAGAGGTGGGGGAGAATGCAATGAAATTAAGGAGCCATAAAAAAAAAGAAAAATTAATGAGCCATACTGCCCTTAGTTGCTTGGAGACCCCCTTCCGCACATTGCTCACTAGGACAGCCCACCCTTTCTCTCCTGGGAAGGTACCGGAAACTGGTCAGCATCAGTGCCTTTCACAGGCCAGGCCCTTACCTGAGGTTTATACCATCACGTGCTCCCAGGTTGTCCTTGCTGGCCCTGTGGGCCGCTTTTCTGTTCGCTTCCTCTTCTGTCTCACTCAAGCTTCCCTCCTCTAAGCTGTCAGGCTCCATATTTTTGTCCTGGATTTGGTCCTCAGCTTGGGACTGGGACTTCATCTCTTGAGGAAGACTCTCTGAATCTGATTCTAAGGAGTCTTTTGAAATCCGGTTTAAGTCTTCTTCCTTAAAGGCGCTGCCCGAAGGCTGGGTCCTCAAGTTGGTATGATGGACAGGAGACTGAGTGGAGAGCTTGGGGATTGGTTTATATTTACTCATCCTGAAACACAGAAATATGGACGGGAACACTCTTGTTATCAGAAGCAGTTAGCCGACATTTACAATTGTAGCTGTCAAAAGCAATTGCTTAAAAATTATATTTATGCTACTCTGTGGCTTCTGAAATCATAATGTCAATGTTTGTCAAAAATGTCAATGAGCAAGAGAACCTTGTTATATTATCTGCAGGCTTTTGAATGCACCCTTTTGAGTGTATGAACAAGGGAGGCCTAGTGGAAAAATGATTGTTTTTCTCTCTGCAGAAACACATCTGATTTAGGACCCATAAGCGGCCCGAGTAATCGAATGAGGTTTTATTGAGGAAATCAAATGGCTGCTTGAAAGCAGATTCTGTTTCCAGCTTCCAAGGGCTTCTTACAAACAAGCCGGAACAAAGCCAAATGGTTAATTGTGAGCAGTGCTTTCCGTGGCTTTATTTCAAATGCCCAGGGCAAGTGTGTGTGTGTGTGTGTGTGTGTGTGTGTGTGTGTGTGTGTACGTCCTGTTTAGCAGCAGCCACAGATGCACTCAGACAGGTTCAGGGTTTTATCATTTAGAAAGTAAAGGAGAGGAAAGCATGATCTCCCGCAACCAGAACTGTATATAATACACAGACTTTCACTCCAAGACCAGTGTCTGCTACCCAGGATGCTGCTAGAGAGGAGTGTGTAACTTGGGGGACCATCATATGAAGATCAGTCTCAGCTCAGTATTATACCACAACAGCAATGTAATCATAATGGTTTAAAATGTTCAATAAATGAGGTGTGTTTTTGCGTGCTGGAAAGCTAAGCGCTTGGGAGAGGGAAGAGGAAAATCAGGCGTTGGAGGGAGGCCAGCTTTGGCTGCATGAGAGCTTGTCTACAAACAAACAAACAACAACAACAACAAAGAAACCCAAACCATTGAACAAAAGGTTTGTGAGTCACTGAACGACTCCCAGCACGGGCTGATGGCCACCTACCTGTTCTTAAGCAAAGCTGGGTAGGTGGGAGACAGGCCCGCAGGACAGCTAGGATTAGGGGAGTCCATCCCTCCTAACTTACTTAAGAGTGTGATTCCAAGGGAACCCTCACTGTCTCCAAGGGCTGCAACAGTGACCCACGAGATGATGGTTTACAGAAAAATGCTTTGAGTTTGCACAGGATTGGAAGATGATGGTTGGGGGGTGGATTTCCTTTCATCTCTACCCCGTGTTTCTCTTTTGGTTTATCTTCTCTCTCACTGCCTTTATGGTGTGTGTGTGTGTGTGTGTGTGTGTGTGTGTGTGTGTGTGAGACAGTGGGAGAGAGAGAGGAGAGAATCAGAAACCTTTACCATTGGAGCTATGCTCAAATTTGTTTTGACTGGCATGCTCATGTTCTTTTGACAAATCTGGTTTCTAATTAAATACCTTGACCTGATTTCTGTTCCTTGAATTACTATTATATTGACCTTGTTGCTAGGGTTTCCAAGGACACAGTCCGACGCTTGGATGAAAGCACTTTCACAACACAACAGACAAAGGGTAGTGTTCATACTTAAACAAATATGGGATGATCTCTGCTTAACTCCAAGCTTCCTCTTAGTAGACTGATATATAGCACCTAATTTTAGATTAGTTTGCCTGCAGTCTCTTATTTAATATACACACTCGCATTCTGTCATATTTTAATATCAATTTGCTTTTCAGGGTATTTTTTAGAAAGCAGCAAGCATGAAAAAAATTTAAAATCTCTGTAAACAGCAGTTTCATCATTTAAAAGTCACTATATTTAAAATCTTGAAAAACAAGCTTAGAAAGTCAGGGCTAAGGGGGTGTAGGTCACTGATAGAATATTCACACCCAGGGTTTAATCAACAACTCCAGCAAGAAAAAAATCGTAACTCATTTTAGAATTTTTTTTTATACGATAATGTAGATCTTTCTCTCTTTCCTTAAACAAGAACCCAGGGTTTCTTGGTAGTAACAAATAAATAACGGCCACATATGACAATAATTTAGTTGTTGTTGACAAGAATGATAAAATTCGGGAAGAATGTGAAAGAGCAGAGTGAAATATCTCCCAAATTGGGTTTTCTGTGGAAGCCTGATGGGAGAGAGAAACAGAGAGAGAGAGAGAGAGAGAGAGAGAGAGAGAGA